GAAATAGGGCAGTTACAAGTCTAATTTGAAGCTCACGTATGTGTACATTGTGTGTGCATGTCCAGCTTTTCCTCCGAAATTTGTAGCTTTTGTGCCTTTGGTTTTCTTTGCTTTTCTAAAAGCGTGTGGTTCTAAACGCCCACTGGTATTACAATGTAATATATATATATTTTGTACTTTAATACTGATTGTACTAGAAACAGCACTAGCAGTATGTCTGTGTTTAACAAGTTTGGGTATGTATTTTATAAGTTAATTTTATGCCTAAACATGGATTCAAGTTACTACTTTAAAAACAGCATCACCAAAAAATGTTATCCTAACGTCCAGAAAACTAATTTAGAATGAATGTCAAAGTAAAGGATGTTGCACACAAACGTGAAAAATATCCTAAACTTACAGTACTTTGAAAAAGTTTTAAACTACCTCCAGACTGTTGATGCTTTTGCTTTTAGAAGGTCTAGTTCCTCGTAATTTTTAAAAAGGTCTTGGACAAAAGGTCCCCAAGCTGCTTTTTCTTTGACAATGACAGCTTTTGCTTTCACAGCAGCATATTGTGCAGTGTGCACCTAAAAATTATGAACAAGGATAGAAGAAATTGTCACGCCTAAAAACTATTTGCAGCAACTTCAACTATGTCTGAAAAATAAAATCTTTAAGGAATAGAGAAAATCCAGCTGAGGTTTGACACCAAAACTGAGATTTATCATCCTTTAGTGGATCATCTGTTTGTCAAGTTTCTGTTAATTGCTCTTGGGGAATTCTCTACTTTGAGATAAAATATTTTACGTCTATCAAATTGTGCTGTCTTTTCTTAAAAAAAAAATGAAATAAAGAAATGGGAGCACATTGCGTATTTGGGACAGCATGAAGAGCCTGTTTAAAATTGGTTCTCTGTTATGGGTAGGCAAAACACCAGAGTTTAGGTGCCCTTCTATGTTGTCGTTTCCTAGGTCAGAATTGAATGCAAAAAAAACCCAAAAAACATTTCTCTGAAAATCAGGTACTCAACAAAAAAACGGCCCATTAAGTTTCTCTACAGAAAAACAACCACTAAACTATTTAATCAAGTCAAAGTTAAAAAAAGTCACAAAACAAACTTCTTTGGAGTAAAGTGTAAAGAAAGGAAGGATGTCCTAGACATGTGCACATCACTGTAGTTACATCCACAATGTGAATAATTCTTGTTTATTAATATACTGGTGCCCAAAGGCTGTTTGATAGTGCTGCATGAATGATGGATTTAGCTAATTTTGTTGTATTTTCTTTTGTAAACTTCACAAAACATATTTAGTAGGTCAGACTAGTAGTTTTAAAAAAAAATAAATACACAGTGAAAGTTTCTGTGTGTAGCACAATTCTCCCGTTTTTACCGTAATTCTGCTTTTTTCCCATTATGCCTTCATTTATCTCATGGTGACTGTATAAGTCCGTCATTGCCATCTTTGACAGTATCATCATTATTATGATCAATGATTATGAATATTGCTCCAATGTGTCCATTTATCTCAGTCGCCGGGCTCATCAGGTTAAAAATAAAGACTGCAACTGTGTAAAGACTATCCTTGGACCTGCCACCGGAGTGCAAAGCTCTTCAGAGTTCAGCCACTGTTTTGGGGCTTTGCAGTAAAACCCAACTCACCGCAAATGTACTCTTGATTTTCACATGGTGGTTTCTTAATAAGTATTTATACTTTTGTAAATTGGAAGGCTCAGCTTCCTCAAAAGGAAAGGTAATTATGCCTCGCGGTCAACTTTAGCCCCATTTTTTTTCTTTTTATTTCTTTTTTAAATTAAAAAAAAAATTGCATGGATGTGTGTTTGTATGCAAGGATCTACGTGTCTGGTCAACTTAACCAAAGTGAGAAAAGTAAACGTAATTATGCTTGTTGAAATGCTGTGTGGGATATTTTTATTTTATTTTATTTTATATTTATTTAAGGGACTGTTTAAGGGACTTAGAAAAGTTTGCTGAGTTTTGCGCTGACAATTCTGTAATATTTACAGAGTTGCACTGTGTGTATAGATTGTAGTTCATTAGTCTTTAAAGATATTTAATCAGTATTTGTCTTTCCAACTATGTACATTACTGTGGTGTGCAAAAACCACCAGCTGCCACTCATTTATATATATAATATATATATTTTACTTCAAGAGCCAACATTTCTTTAAAGTGCTTTCCTAAAAGGTCTATCAAGTTTTTTCTTTAAACAATCATTGTACTTTTACACTCATTTTTAAGTCTTACTATTTTCAGTAGAAATGTTTCAATAATTATTTTCTGCAATCCTTGAAACATTGACAAAAATCATTCAACCACAGAAAATATACTAGATTTAAGAGATGCGCTAAGGTTTTGTCTACTCATAAAAGACAGCATGGCAAAGAAGATATTTTAAACTGTATCTTGAGGCTGTTTTAGCAGTGTCTTGTCACATGGACACGGTTTGTTCAAAATTTTAAAGTGGAATATATAAAACGTAACAAAAGCATATATGTCTTGCTTGAAACAGTTTTTGAACCAGCTAGGTGATCCCATTTGCACATGGTGCTAAAGTAACTTTAAAATAATTCAACGTCTACATTGTGATTGGAAGCACAGTTTGTTCAGGATCAGTTTACTTATGCAGCAGCTCTGGATTGGAAATCCAGTCATTCCGATTCCTGTTGTCACTTTCAGCTCATCCTGGTTGAGTCCAAGGCATCCAGGTCAAAACAGATGTGCCTTTTAATTTCTCTAGCAAGTTTTAGATTATCCTTAGGGTTTTATCCCAGTGGGACATGCCTGAAAAACCTCCAAAAGGAGATGTCCAGGAGGCATCTTAGAGACCTTAACCACGTCAGTTGACTTATTTTGTGGTGAAGGTGCAGCAGCTCTACTTCAAGCTCCTCCAGCATGAAGGAGCTCTTCAATGTATCTAAATCTGGTCATGATGTTATCTCAATGGTCATAGGTGAGGGTTGGAATGTCGAGGAACCAGATTGACAGTTTTACTTCACTACCACCATAGACCAGATCAATTTCTTCGTTACTGCAGACAAAACCCCAATCTGTCTGTCCACCCCTTACTGTATTCTACGATTTGCCCATGAACCAGACACCAAGGTACTTAAACTCTTCTACTGAAGGGAGAAACTTTCCCAAACTTGGAGGGAGACTTCCATCTTTTTCCTGTTGAGAACCTTGGCTCCAGATTTTGAGGAGTTGACCTTCATCCTGGCTGTTTCACACTCAGCTGTGAACCACTCTATTACATTCGAAGGTCAGGTCTTAAAGATGCCACCAGCACCACACCATCTGCAATAAAACAGAGGTGCAGCCCTGGCATTCCCAAACAAGACACCTTCATTTGGCTAAAACTAACAGAAGAAGAATTTGGGGAATAAAAGGACAAACATTCATTAATATTCATTTGCTACTTGTGTTTTGTTTGGAATCAACAAAATCTTAGCCCCTTTCTAACCTGGATTCTGACCTTGTTATTGCTGTTGTGCTCTACAAACAAAGGCAAACATTACACATTGGTCATAAATAAAAAATGGTGAAAAAGTAACAGATGTAACCTCTTGTGAGTCTCCTTATTAGTAAGCTTTAGTCTCCCTACATTGTCGTGGGCAGGCTGTAAGGCTTTTGTCTTTTGGAGAAGAAAATCCATCAACCTTGCCTTAAATCACTGCATAATGAATTCCATTGTGTGCTACCCAGTTGTCTTAATTCAAATTGCATGGGATCCTGATCCCCAAAGTCCATATTTGTTTATTGAAGCAATATGCAGAAACCCGAATGAGAAGGCAAAACCCAGTGTGTATTTAATTGCTTTGTTTTACATCCACGTTCACGTCCGGCCTCTCCCAGGGTGATGTGTTGTTAAAAACTGCAAGGCCCCATTCTCACACTCCGTTCTCTTGTTAACCGTAATTGCACTTGTTGGTGAGCTGAAAGAAAGCAAATAAAGACGGAAAGAAATTACCAGGCATCATTTTAAGTTCCACGTTTCCATCCACTTTATTTAGGAAAAGTTTTTTTTTTTTTTTACTCAAATCCCAACGCTTTCAATATACAGTTTAATATAGTTGAATTAAAGTTGTGAAATTGACATATATAGACAAAAATAACTAAGGGTTCACTCAGACAAACTTAAAAAGAGATGAATTATTCACAAAATCTGGCAGCGTGTGCACATGTACAGACTGTGATTTGGAGAGAGAGGTAATGCAGGAGGAACTCCCAGTAGAGCTGAATGTGCAGGTGTTCCCCTCGGTAAAATGCCACCTCCTTTACTCAATCACATCCTTTCTGTCTTTTCCTTATCAGACAGGTTGCTGTCTCCTGATTTTCTGTAGCTGTCACACATACACTCAAAGTCTAGTAGGGGCCATCTCTGAGCTTTCAGAGGAGGAAAAAGATCATTACAGTTGCAGACAGCAGCCATTTTAGAAATTTGTACACTATCACAGTCTGCCTTTTTCGTTTTCTTTGTCACAGTCAGACCGCCTCAACTCACAGAGGAACTGTTCCCACAAAAGTCTGGTTTCGCTACAGATACTGAAATATATGGAGCTGCATGTCTGCTTCTCTTTGACACTCCGGGTTAAAACATTAGTCGCTCAGTTCATGTGATCTTTCTTTAGAAAATGCTATCATGATTTGTGAAGAAGGATTTGGCTTTTTCCATTGAAAATGTTGAACATTAAAAGTAAATTTGAAAAAAAAAAAAAAAGTGCAAGGAGACAGGAGTTGGATTACCTCCGGAGGTTTTCTGGTAGTGTTTTGTCGGCGCTCATTAAAATGTATTTTTGCTTAATCAAGTTGGGATTTCTAGTTTGTTTTATTTTCCAACTCTTTGTCTGTGTTTTATCTAAGAAGTCTACAGTTGTAGAGAGGAAGTTCATCTACCAATCCTTAAATAATGGCACTAGAAATGAAATGTGATATGCTCAAACATTTTATTAAATTGCAGTGCAAATGATATACTTTCTCCTTTTTTCCCCCTCAACAGCCCAACCGCAGTCTGAGTCTGATCTCAAGTCCTCTGAAGTGGCCAATGGAGACGTTGCCAAGGACCCAAATGGCTTTCACCACGGCAGCACGGGCACACCCACAGTGAGTAACGGCAATGGCATCAACCCTGGTTTTGGAGGCCCTGAGCCCATGCGGACGTGCACCTGTGGTGCCAACGTCAGTACGAGGACTGCGAGCGGGTCAGGGCCTGGAACAAGCGCAGCGGCGACTGCGCCTATGACAGAGCAGCCCAGGAGGCAGCCGTCCACGCCCGTGTCGCACAGGGTGCAGAGGAAGCTGAGGTCCAGCTTGTCAGTCAACAGTGATGGCAGCAGACGTAGCAAAGGCAGCTCGATGGGCTCACAGAAACCTCCTTTACCAGAGGGTGAGTATCCCCACATCAAAATTTTTTTTATATAAGCGCAAAACTGCTCACACGCATACTAACTTCTCTAACTTCTTATCGCTGGCATACTTCTTATCTTTGTCTCAACTTCTTCTAATGATCATAAATTAATTTTACCTGTGTCAGGGTCAGTTTCAACTGCAGGACTTAATCAAAAAAAAGCCCCAAAGCAGTTTTTTTTAAAAATTATAAAAATGTGGTCAGAAACTTCCAAAGCGCTTTTTAAACACAATGTACTTCTGATTGTATTCTTTTAATGAATTTTAAAATATATTCTTCTTTTTGCACAATGATCCTCAAATAAAACGAGCCCAATCAGTAACTCACTGACAAACAAGAACTTCTCAATTGTGTAAAATAAACACATTTTCAAATGTAAAATTGTAAACGTTTAGTCTAACTCAAGATAAGGGCTAAAAAGGTACTATAAAGTAGTCTGTAGTTCAGTGAAATGTGAACAGCATTAAACCAAATGGAGTTATTCTTTGGATGCTCATGAACCAAGCCCTCCATATAATATTGATAATAAATTCTTACCATCTCTCACCTTTTAATGATGACGGTGCATGACCTCTCGTATTTATCACTCCCGTCAAGCAAATGACATCTTATCTCTCTCCTGTGGCTTTTATTTTCCTTAACAATAAGTCAGAGGGTCCGTTTGCCATGCAGGGAAGCCGTCACTTTGTCAGGTGCAAGGCCGAGGTGAGCGCAGTAATGAAGGCGGCTGGCCGCTCCTTTTCCGTTGGGGAGATAGGTGCGACCGTCTAACGAGGCCTGAGAGCACGGGGTGCCTATTATAAGTCGTGGCCAACCTTCGCCAGGCCCCTCACGGCCCCTCACACCTCTCTGGGCCTTTTTTGGCTCTTCCTACATCCCGTCAGCAACACCTTGGCCCTCATTAATAGGGCCCCGTCGCCTCTGTCCTCCAGCTTCTCCACTTCATGCTCATATGTGTGTGTTTATGCACTGAGCTCTCTTTACCTCTTCCACGCAATATGAGTTAAAGCATATTTCTTTAAAGCAGATTAGCGATTATTATTTATTTGAATGTATTTTTGAAGCAAAGTCTTTTTTTATGTTTTATCTAATTGCCCAACTCCATGTTAGCATAAATGAGGACATACTGTAATTTTGAATGAGGGAAAATTGTGGCCTATGTGCTGGAAATACGCATCAAGCCGTTTTCACATAAACTAAATATGCTCACACATCTACAACACTTTGAGGGTAAAGCTAGAAAGCACTCAGAGTTATTTCAGAGTTGTCAAGTTCGTAACATCCTAATTGGTGCAGAAAAACAACTGCAGCCGCTCAACAAGTCTCATTATGGCTGTTTTTGTGTGCTTATTTGAAGACGTGTGAGCTTTCAGAATCAATATGCTCGTTCTCAGCTATTTATTTCCCCCTGGAAACCAGCCAAGCTGTTGTGTTTGAATGTTTACATGGATTAACATAATCTGTTTGCCTGTGAAATTAGCCTCCTAAACAGCCCTCTGAACACGGGATATAAAAGGCGTGAGCTAGTAGATGCTAGCTCCTGGGGAATCTCTTGCTTTCTGTGTTTCTTGGCACGCGCTGCTGGCACCGAAGTCAATGTGCGATAATACTGAAGGGGTAATTTACCACGCTGCATCAGGGTGGGCTGTCTCAGCTCTAGCTAGCTAATTTTTTTTTTTGTTTTGGTTTGTTTGTGTGTAATCAGTTTAGGTTTCCAAGCAGCTTTAGCCTCATTTAAAGATTTATTCCTTTCTTTGCTTTGAGTGCAGTTTTAAATCCCTGTCTTTGCTGTTTTCTTAGCCATGTTTTTTGAGCTCCACTCCTCGTGATTTTTTACTGTTCCTTCAGTCATGCATTATAAACAGAGCTGCTTTTAAGTTGCATGTGGTGGACCTTCACAATCCATCCCATATCCTCTGTGCTCTTTACCCACGTGTGCTCTCCAGTGGCCACCAAGGCTTTGTCTGATCAGTCTAGCCATTTTGCCCACTCTCTCTTTTTTTGTGAGTTTGAATGTTTTGCACAGCTTGCTGCTCTGAGGCCCTTCCAGCTTGTTTTGTGTCAAGCCTCTCCCCTCCCTTTTTTTGATGTTGGCTTTCCAGATGTCTCATAGTATTTCCTCAGAGGCGCCGGACGCTGCTTTTGGCCCAGGCAAACTCTGGGCTTCATTTCTGCACGTTGACATTAAACAGGAGCGTTGTCAGTCTTCTCTGCTCCGTCTGTCCTTTGCTTGGTTTCACTCTGCCTTTCTGTCCGTCTTGCTGTGTTTTCATAGAGATGTGCCTTGCGCCCAGCTCTCTTGTGTACAATATACGACCCCCCTCTCTCTTTCCCCTTTTCCACCCTGGCTTCTGTAAGAACCAGACTAATCGCTGGTGCTGAATTATACATCCAAGTGAATAGCTGAGATGGCTGGCCACTGCTTATTGCCTATGTACTGTGTTTGTATCACATTCGCATTCTGCTGTTACATTCTCAAAGCTGGCATGGCTATACCCTGTGGGTCCTTCAGAGTTTGTTAGGCTGAACTTTCAGGTTTTGTGCATGCAGCTGTGTCCACGTTCACTCGCTGGCTTTTCGAGGCAGCACTCTGCGTCGGATCCGAGTAAATTGTAAAATGTGGCATTGTTGCACCAGTTTGCATATCCACTCTTGATGTTCAACAGTGTGGGATATATTCTCATGCATCTTCCATCACTGCCTGGCCTCAGATAAGGATAATAAGATGCATTCAAACTTCACACACGCTTGCCCGTTTCATATTCCTCTTCGCTATCTTGTTTGTATCAGCCGGTGCTTCTGGTCAGCTCTGCAGCCGTCAGCACTGCAAAATTAGGGAGAAAAGAAAAAAAAAAATCCTCCCCTCTACTTTGATTAATCAAACATGAGTGTTCAGAGGGCCTCAGTTCGCCTTCACATTCAGTCCTCCACACTCTCCACCTTTTTGCTTTCCTTCTAACCCAATCAGCAACAGACTCCTTCTGATAGCTGGAGATGGGCTGATGAAAGTTATGCAAATGCGCCCCTGTTTGTAATGCTATTTTTCTGCATCCATCCACATCGTGTCTTTTTAACCGTCCAAAGCAGCTCTGGACTCTGATCAAAAACGAGACAGCTGCGAGGAGTGTGAGGCGAGTTCATGCACTGAAAAATATGAATACAACAACAGAGGTTCTGAAGCGGGGAGACTTGTTCACACATCATATTTATTTGTTTTTATGCCTTTATTGTGAAATGTGACAACTTTCCATCCCTTCAGTTTGTGCTTTGATGGTTAATTTTTATCAAAACAGATGTGGATGAGATGAAGGAAATCAAATTCATTTTCTCATTTGAATCCTGCCGTCTTTCTGCTCTCTGGGCAATTTAAAACACAACAGAAATTATTGTAGTACCGTATTTTCTGGCGTATAAGTCACCCCAGAGTATAAGTCGCATCTGTTCAAAAAAGTATCATGGAGAGAAAAAAACAACAACAACAACAACAACAAAATATATATATATATATATATATATATTTATATATAAGTCGCTTCAGCAAATAAGTCTCATTTATTGTGCGTCACCACTGACCTGTTGTGTTTATTATGCGTTTATTCAATGGGCAGAACAGCTTCTTTTGCCTGGGCGGCGCCATCCATCCATCACGGCCGGAGCCACTAGCTCTCCAGCGTTCCTCTGCCTGCACCAACTGTGTGAAGCGAGCGGGCACGGGAGGACTCGCTGTTGCAGTTCTTCGAAAATGAACAAGATTAACACTTAAAAACAATCATTTGCTCGACATTATGGCAAAGGTGCGTCTCAGTTTAACTTTTCCTTAATAAATGCATTTTAATGGTCAAAACAGCTTAATTTCACATGGGCGGGGTGGCTCCATCCATTCATCCATCCGTCCATCCGTCCATCCTTGGACGGTCCGTCCGTCCGTCCGTCCGTCCGTCATGGCCGGAGCCATGAGCTCTCCAGTGTTCCTCCGTCTGCACCAGCTGAGTGAAGCGAGCGGGCACGGGAGGACTCGCTATTGCTGTTTTTCGAAATTTAAAGCGTCAGTCAAAAGTTGCATTATGAATATGAGGGGGGAAAACAAACAATCTATAAAAGTCGCTTCGACGTATAAGTTGCAGGACTGACAAATCTATGCAAAAAAAGCTGCGACTTATACGCCATAAAATACGGTAGTTCCACTTTTTAAAAATATAGATGGTGATGATGCGTCTCTGGCTGCTGTAGTCTACTTAGCACCTGTAACAGTGCGAGGTAAAGATTTCAACACAATCGGGGCTTTCTTTACTCCTCAATGCTCAGATTATTATTTTTTTTTTAAAGAAAATCACATTTAAAAACTTTTATCATAAAGTAATGTTTAGATGTAATATATTTTGTTTGATGTATTTTATTACTAATACTCTTACTAATACTCTAACATTACTAACATCCTGAGTAAAAGTTTGAACTAAAATTTACATTTTTTCCCATGCTGTTGCGTATTCAAACCAGCACTGTTTTCTAAAACGTAGCTAATTTTGCTGCTGAGAATCAGATTTATGAAGCCTAATGGGCACATTTGTAAATCAAAGGAGAAACAAACTGAAAGCTTGATCCAGCAACACAAAGAAGGGTCTGCGTAGAGGTTAAATGGTAATCAGAGGTGTGAGCATCGCCGGCATTAATTCACCTATTTGTCAGGGTGAGACTTTTGGACTCGGATAATCGTCTTTGTTTTATCAACCTTGCAGTTTTGCATGATAATGCCACAATTATTTAACAGGCTGTTAATCAAAACAGCATGGGAAGAATTCAGTTTTAAAAATGTTCCTATTTTCTTTAACTCGCCCCAGTTTGCCATCACGCTTCAGCCTCGGATTGCTGTTCCTGTTTTCAGCATGTGTCTCTTACTTTGCACTTTTATTTTTATCAAATTAATATTCAATTTAAAGATCCCTTTATAAAGAAAAAGTATATTTGTTAGTGTGTTTTGTTTATTTTTGTTCTTATTTTATTCACGTCCTTCACTTGGCACCACGACTGGTTTGACTTGGACCCAGACTGCTGCGTTCACTGCATCCTGGCCTGCCTTTTCTGTGAGTTCCTGACACTTTGCAACATGGTGGTGGCCCAGGCTTCGTGTGGCGCGTGCACATCGGAGGCTTGCTGCTGCTGCTGCTGTACTGACGACTTGGGCGACGACTGCAACTGCCCCTGTGACATGGACTGCGGCATCATGGACGCCTGCTGCGAGTCCTCGGATTGCCTGGAAATCTGTATGGAATGCTGCGGGATCTGCTTCCCCACATAAAATTCCTTGACGATAAGACGTTAACCCTGAACATGGGGAAAAACTGAAGGAATCTTCTGCTTTAGTCACTTTGAAATCATCAAACGACGGAAGTGTGTGTGTGTGTGTGTGTGTGTGTGTGTGAAAGTGATAGATGTCAGGTTGCAGCATGCTTATGTGTTTTGACACTGGGCTTCTCTATCAAAATCAGCTCAGCGCAGACTAGAATTAAACCCAGATCTATCAACATGTCACTTAAATCTTACGTGTTAAGAAATGTTCATTTCTAAAATGAAAATGACATTTTCATCATTTCCAGAAAAAGTATTATGACAAACTGCTTTAAGCTTTTGTATTCGCATCAGAATTGTTGTTTAAATGCATCTCATTTTCTTCTTTTAGTCATCTTGAACAAACATTCCAATATATTAGCTTTTCAATGCAATAATTCAGGTTGCATTCTCAGTACTGTACAACACTGTAACAGGTTTGTGATGGCTAATGCAACCATTACTCTGTAGTTCTGTAAAACAGGCTTCCATTTACACATCTACTGTAGCACTCTGGGGCAGATTAGACAAAGTTTTTAAGAGTTCAGTGCATCGAATAACCGTCGAGATAACAGTGTTGTCTGGTGTAAACTGATAAGGCTTTTCTTAGGATTATCGTTTATTTAAATTTCCTTTTGCACAATAGAACTGCACAAAATTGAAGAGCTCATAGTGGTTTGTAAAACTGTAGTGCCAAGTTGGTTTGAAATCTCCAAAGTATTTCATCTCACATTCCCTGGTTTGCTATCGTCGTTAGACTTTGTTTTACTGGAAATGAAGTCACATTTTTATTGTAAAACTGGACGTTTTGTATTAAAATGTCTGTGTGCAGCTTATCGTTTCCATTACTTATCAATGGAATTGTTTTACAGCTGGACAACATCTCACAAGGCTCTGACTGCTCCAAGAGTAGATGTTGGCTCAAACTTGACTCAAAATTGAGAGAAAATACAGATTTTTATTTTCAGTCTTCGATGTTTGTAACCGAGTGATCGTTTTTTTTTTTTTAAATCCCCACATTTTGTGTCCACTGTTTGTACAATTGTATTCTAGGCTGTGGACATTATTCCATTGACCACCTCTGCCCACATCATACCAACCTCGGCCAGCTTTGTACCTACGTTGCCGGCTGCAATCATAATTAGAATTTATTGGAATCATTATACAGTTTAGAAATAACATTGGACCATTTTTATTTATTCATTTTTTTTCATTAGTGCGGTTTATTTTAGATCTGGACATGTTTTCTGTCAGAGGAGAGCTCTGTGCAAGTGTCAAAATACAGCTCTCACTCTTGGGACAGGTTTTGACACCCATGACAAATTCCAGAAGGATTTGAAACACCGTGCCCACACACATTTTTTGAACCGGTTCAGATCTCAAGGAGCAAGACCTCAGTGGTCCCTGCGATGTAGCAAACACACTGACACACACGGTCACCGTTGCAATACATTCTGGAGACTCGAGCAAATGTTCTGGTCACCATCAGTAGTAGCCTTATGAGATTCTGTCTTAAGGTATACGTATTTTTCTTTCATTTTGTGTAAAAAATGACTTATTGAACCGATTTCTCTTCACTATTGGTGATAAAAGACCAAAAAATGATGACCCTAGTTGCTATATTAGCAGCTTTTTGGTATCAGACCCCAGTGACTCATAATACCAAGAAAATAATTTTAAAGTGTCAAGCTTAGTTGGTAAACTAATGCAGGGAAACAGCAGTTGTCTTCATATTTTCTGTTCCTTAATTCTGTGCATCTCAAGCTGAGTTTATGGTGAGTCACCAGCAGAGTCATTTTCTTGTCTTGGAGAACCGCTTTGATGTTGAAGTGATGATACTTAATACGTGCCCCCATTAGCACTGCTTACTAAATGGTAGCAAAAAAAGTTCCTTTCTAATTCCATCAAAGATAATGTGCTGTCATGCACAGCCCGTCCTAATAGCACAATGTTGCAAGGACATTGAGTAAACGCCTCTTTAAGAGATAATCTGCATAAAGTAAACCTCATTTTCATGTTTATGATTAGCTCAAACCACAAGTGTGTCCAAGACTGTCAAGAATGTAGAAAATGTGAAGATTTTATATTACAGGAGAAATATAGTAAATGTCTACTTTTACTTTGTTGTTTTTATTTTTGTTTACTTGTTTTATCTTCTGCGTAACTGCTTACCGTGAGTTCACAGCTCAGTTTATTAGTTTTGCACAATATATAGAATCTCAAAGAAAACCGTCTTTTTAAAATAAAAGTTTAAAAAAAAACTGTTTTGCTTCTTATTTTACCATTCATGCCCATGTTTATGTTTGATATTTCATTTGTGTACCAACGACCTCCTTTTCCAAATTATTTCTTAATTTGATGCTGTGCCACTGGAAGGATTTTTCCTGAAACCTTTTTTTTTTTACTTTTGGACATTTGTTATGATGCGTAACCATGACAACAAAGTGGTTTTCTTCAACTGGGAGCTTCTGATTAACATCTCAAAAGCTCAAGTAATACCTAAACTACAGTCCCAAATCCCAAATGAGTTGAAAAGGAGGTGCCTTGGATGCATTACCGTCTACCTGGAGGGTTGCTTGACTGCCAGACTGCTGAGATCTTGGAGGTAGTGGGAGACGTGATTAGAGGCTCGGCAGGCTACTGGGAGAAATGGCCATCGCTTGGGGAGGAGTTCTGTCCAGCATTCAGGCAGTGCTGCTGCCCAAGAGGACCGAGAGGTCTGCTGGGTCTGGGTGGATGGATCGACATCTGCAGCCACATTCTTCAGGTCCACTGTGGGACAGACCGCTACAAGAGTTCCTTCCTGCACAAAGCATCTGTAACAACTCTAATGAAATCAAGATGAGCTATGTAGTGAGATAGGTCGGCAGCTACAACAACAATTATTTTCCCTTTGGGATTAATAAAGTATTTTTGAATTGAATTGAATTTGATTAGAATGTAAACATTTTACATTTGAAGCTGTTTTAAGTACCGTAGTTTAGCTTCAAGTCCGTCATGTAGCTCTTAAAAAAAAGTAACAAAATATGTACTGCAGCAGTTGTAGCTTTTTAATATTGGAAATATACACATGCAGTTTGTCATTACATTTATCAAAATAGAAATGTTTTACTTTTTCTTGCAGCTTTAGTCCAAATTATCAACAATCATTTAAAAAAACGAACAGTAGCTGAGGCTAAAATAAAGTGTTTTTATAGTGATGGTTTGTGGAAAACGGTTTGTTCTCACAAGCTTGCACTTTGATTTTTAAGTGATAATTATCCTGTTGGAGTCTCCACCTTGAGTCCAGCATCAACACATGATCGTACTTTATCTTTAGACTTTATTTCACATAATAAAGAATAATACTTCAGTTGCAACAGTGTCTGCAAACTACAGACTCGGTGGGGTAAGGAGCCAGCTCCAAACCATAACACTTCCACCGCCATGTATTACAGTGGGGAGTACTTTTTATTTTTTTGTAATGCTGACTTGTTGGTACTGAACATAATTTACTGTGTCAAAAAATATTTATTTGGCATTCCTATTCCAAAATGCATTAGCTAGATCAATCGTGTTCTGTTTACACACATTCCAACCATATTTTTTTGGCACAAAGAGCTACAGGAGTTTGTTGCTCATGACACATGGGGGTGTTTGGACAGGTCTTTTTGCAAAAAACGGTGAGCTCTGGGTTTGGAACAAATAATTAGTTTAAAATATACTACTGTTTATGCCATTCTGCAACCATGTCATGGTTATGATCATATTTTTGAGTTTTCTTGACATTCATATCAATTGGAATGAACATGTGTATATTTAAAAGTGGTTGGTCTCACAACATGGTGTCTCCTTCCTGTCCTCTAAGAGTTCTAACATGGGGACAGCGTCAACATGGGTACGTAGCCAACAACATTCAGTGAGGTCCTCAGGGAGCATGAACCTCCTGCTGGGTGGGACAGACGTCTGACCTTTAGCCAACATTACCTCCCATTAACCTCTCAATTAACCTTCATGGCAGCTCATCTGCTAGAGAGGCAGAGAAAAGAATCTTCTTATTTTGCCTCATCGTTTGACGCCTGGATTCACCCTGACCTCAGGAAATTGCCGTCTTATTTCACTAATGCGTTTGGAAAAAATATTGCTGTCTTTAAAGTCTGTAATCACGCAGGAGTTGTATTTTTTCCTTCTCTTTTGTACTTTGTTCTATTTCTACAAATTTAGAAATAAAATTTCAGGTGGAGTGCGCAATGACCTTTTCACAAAGTCTTCCATGTTTCTACTCGTCTAATCAATCCCCCTCTGATAGCTTGCTGTGTGCCGGATTGTAATGTCACAATTAGGGCCGCTTCATTGTTTCTGTTTTCTGTCTGGGAAGAAAGTCTGCACTTCTCTGATCACAAGGTCATTTCTTTTAGAGTTTTTAAATAAATTAAAGTGCGGCTGTGGCCTGCTCTTCTGTTTAGCCACATCTCTTTATTCTTCCCTTCTTGAAGCTCCGATTGGGAGCAATACTCTTTAAATAGAAAATGAATGTCTTTTAGATAAAAAAATGTGATATACAGACATGGACAAATTAGTATCCATCCATCCATCCATCCATCCATCCATCCATCCATCCTCCTTTCCTTCCACCCACCCAACTGCCCATCCATCCACCCACCCAACTGTCCATCCATCAGTCAGTCCGTCCATCCATCCACCCACCCAACTGTCCGTCCATCCGTCCGTCTTGGAGGAGGAGCAGGCTGAGTGCAGCTGACCGAAATCAAACTGTCTGCTTCGGATCAAACGAGAGGAACACACCGCTGAAGCCATGGAGCTCGAATGTCCAACGTAAAACTAACTTCACCGCGGTTGAGAACTGAGGCTCCAGCATAGCACGAACAGTTCAGAAACAATTTGAAATGAGAAACAAAAGCTATTTATTAAGTGATTAAGTCATGTTTTAGACTGCTTATTGCTAGCAAATATATTCTGACCCAAAGTGCAGTTGTAACTGGTTCGAATGGATGGATGGATGGATGGATGGATGGACAGACGGACGGACGGACAGTTGGGTGGGTGGACGGACGGATGGATGAATGGACAGTTGGGTGGGTGGAGGGACTGACGGACAGACGGATGGATGAATGGACGGACGGATGGACGGACAGTTGGGTGGGTGGATGGACAGTTGGGTGGGTGGGTGGACGGACGGACGGAT